GTTGGTGGGGGGCAAGTTTTAATTTGGTTGGTCAGAAATACACGTCTACCAGCAATTCCTTCAGGGACCTTCATGGAGGAAAACACCACCCAGGTTCCAGAAGGTACCAGCAGGTTTGACTGTTTTCAAGGCACCTGCGTATGATTTACATGCCGTGTCAGGATTTGGAAGGCAACCCAGCGATGGGATGAATGATTAATATTAGAATCTATGCAGTAACAGGCTGTGTAAAAAGTGACGAAAAGGAGGAAGACCACCTATTCAACCTCGCCTCCCGAGTAGCCATCAAAGGCATTTTCCCCCCTTAAACTGGAAAATTATGCTTCTTGGCAGCCTAGCAGCAGCATTTACATTGAGAGAGCTTACTAGGGAATTCGTTTTTTGCTGATAATTTGTTATACTGCAAGTTTATGCTACATTTGCACCATTCGAGAAGTTTCCTGAGTTCTAAGGTTTATTTTATCCCTTGATTTTTAGCATATGGTAGATAGCACAGTGTACTTTCAGCCTACCTATAATTATTAATGATCTATCTGCTTATTTATTTTCACCTGGCATGGGTTATCACATCATGTACTGTTTAGTTGTTTTCGTTTTTTTTTCGGGGCAGAGCGGTTTTTAAATTATGTCAGAAATTCCATTAGCATCATCATCTAAGAAAATGTGGGGAAAAAGTTAATAAGCTCCTCTTCTATTTCATTTCATGCACACTGAATTTTCCCTTAGCATTTATTTCAAAGATGATTTGGATTATAAATCCATTTACTGTTTATACCTGTAACATGTTCTGGAAATGGAATTTTTTTCTAGGAGACATCTATATGATTAGATGAACAAATAATTGGATGATCAAGTAAATCTAGCGAAGCTTTAAAATTTTTTTAAGTAGAAAAAAACTCAAAATTTTACTGTCATCAAGGTGTAAATATGAACCTGAAATGATCTGCAATGAAGTTTAAGTTTTCTGGGGACAAATGAGCAATTTGTGGATTAATCTTGATATCCTCTCTCCCCTCATACTCCCAAATAGACTACGTTCTCACCTGCCTTAGGGTCTTTGTATGTTTAAGTGCCCTAATATAAACCATTTTTATAACCCTCTTTTTTTAGATAGCTTGTATTCATGTTGCAAATCTCAGCTCAACTATCAGTTCACCAAAACTCCAGAAAATCATAGATTGCTCTATGTACTTTAAACTTGCATTATTACAGTATAATTTTACATTGATTTGTTGTAGTCATATGATTAATCTGTCTTTCAACTGTAAACTCCATGAACATATGGACTGTTGTTTTTTTCACCATTGTATCCCCAGAGACTAAAGTACAGGTGGATGCTTAAGAGGTAGTTTTAAATGAATTATCTTATTTTTAAAAGATAGGACATTTCACAAAGATCTGAAATTCGTGTAGCTTAGGGAAATGTCTCCTGCTTCTTAAACTCCAGTGTAAGCCATCAGAATAGGCCTGTCCCACTACTAAAAGCTCCATTTCTGAGTAAATCTCTGATCAGTGGCATTGAAAAGGAAAAGACTGGAAATTGCACTGTTGTCCTTTGAGAGGGAGATATTAAGGTAAATAGGGATGGGAGATGTCAAAAAAAAAAAAAAATGAAGCTTTGACTCTACCTCTGCCCAGTTCTGGTACTCTGTATTGAAGGAAGGGGGCAGAGGGGGAGGAGGAGAGTTTAGGAAAACAATACAAAGAAATACTAACAAATTAAATTAATAGATAACAATCTACAATCTATTTGTTATTCAAAGAATTAATAGTGTTCCTAAAAATGTTTTATTTGAATCTAAATATATCTAAATAATGGATGCAATTTTATTGATAAACCTGTTGAGAAATAATCTATTGATTACTGCTTTACCACATTTTGACAAATTTTTTCAGCTTTACTGAGTTACAGTATACTAATTTTACTTGTGTTTTTCTGATACACCTCTTCTCTTGCCTTTATCACAGTTAATCAGCAATTAACTATACTGTAACCGTTAACAATGAAAAATTGATGGGGATGGGAATATAAATGAAACTTACCTTGGGAATTCCTTTCCTTTTTTATCTTTTTTTAATGTCTGAAATATTCAGTTACATCTTGATAAGAAATAGGATATTCTAATTAATAGCATAATTACTTAAATTATTAGTAGTAAATGTTTCATTCGTGTGAAAGAATTTGGAGTTTAGAATTATAATTATGTTATTTGATTATAATACTAGCTTGTGGTCCTATTTAATGTGGAACATTTAAACATATAGCTGTATGTAACAATAACTGCATTTTAAGAACCATTATATTCTACCCAAAAGATGCACAGATCATAAGTGTATGACTCAATGAATATTTACAAATTGAACACACTCAAGTATCCAGCACCGAAATCAGGAAACAACATGACCTTTATCCCAGAAGTCCTCATGGTGTTTCATCATAGTACTACCCATCCTTTGAAAGGCAACCATAATCCATGCTTGTGATACAATAGATTACTGTAATGTGCTCTTTGCTATCCAGTTCACATCTTTGAATTTGAGGCAGCCATGTTGACCTATAGTTACCATTAGTTCATTTGCATGGTCTAATAATATTTCCTTAAATGAGTGTTCCAGTAATTCATCTACTTCATTGTGACAGTGATTAGTTTGTTTCTTTTTTAGCTATTATGGGTAGCGCTTCTACAAATATTCTTGTAAATGTCTTTGGTGAGAATATACATACATCTCTGTAGGGTGTATAAATAGTGGAATTGCTGGGTCATAGATTATACATATGTCCTGCCTTAGTGGATACGTCTAAATAGTTTTCCAGAATGATCCTACTAATCTATACTCCTGTTAGTATAACAAGTTCCAGTTGCTCCACATCCTCAGCAGGACTTGAAATTTTCTCATTTATTCTGAAGTTATCTACAAATGGTCTGTGCCATGCAAATTTATTTAACCTTCATTAAATAAGCTTTCAAAACTTATAAAAATAGCTTGCTTCACATGTATATATCTGTTACCCTGACTTGGGTTTACTTATATTCTAGAGGGCAGAGACCATATATTAGATACTTCTCTATCCTGGAGTGAACCTAACATGGCAAGCACTCAGTGAACTTTTGTTAAGGTGAATCTTAACTCTGTATACTGACCCATTAAAAGAATAGATACAGTAAGAAAGAAGAAGCATTTGAAGAGGAACAATACAAATATGTTTTATTGAAAGAGACAAAGAAAGCATCCTTTCTAAATTTTGCTAAATTTTATTTTCCATTTATGTATTAATCTACTCAACTTCATGTTAGTGCTGAAAAAAAATCAGTGGTTCCTACTGTCTACATGTCTTACTTAATTGCTTCCTTCTTTCACTCTACATTGTAAATAGATAATTAAAAATTATATTTCCCCTAATGGTGAGCCTAACTATATTTCTTCAGGAAGGTGGTTTAGTTTTGATATGATCTAAGTTTTTTCCTCTCTTCACCCACCCATACCATAAGTGAAAGGAAATGACACATCCAGTATCTGTCTCTTCCTTATTCTTTCAACAAATATAACCAGCCAGTGTGCCTAAAAGATGTATTTATGTGTCTAAGGACATAAAGAAAATCCAGTTCCAATTTTCTTTTACCGAACTGCTTTCAAAATAAGCAAATAAACCTAGGGAAGAATTATAACTCACCCAATGCCTTGATGGAATTTAATAGTAACAGTTCTTACTTCCCTGAAAATAAGAGATTTCTATAGAAATGATAATCAACCTCCTGTGAGTATATGGAACTCATAAAACCGGAAGAGTTTCTAAAGGTCAGCAAGCATTGAAAGTTTCGTCCTGGGGATAAATTTCTAAATAACCCTGAGGAGAAAAGAGAGGGAGGGAAAGAAAAAAGTTCAACTTGATGAAAGTAAAATGTGCAAACTTAACAGTTTTTGGATTATCATTTAATTACAGCCATCAATCACCTCCCATATGCTTTCTCCCAGTACTCAAGACATTCAGGCAAAAGCCACACAATCTGACCAACAGAGAATATATAGCCCATTCAGAATCCAAAGCCTAGGAAGCAATATTTAAGGAATTACCCTGTAGGAGATCTTAGGAAATTACCTAAAAGCCGGATAGTAGAATCCATCTTTCAAAAAATACTAGGAGAACCCAAGAATAAAACTATGTTTTTAATTAATAAGATAAACACTATTGCTTCCTCTTGTGTACCATTTAGAGGTGTTTCAGTCAGTGATCATTTTCAAAGAGCTTTGCTTCCCAAATCATTTTATTTTCATCCATATTTTTACTAATGCATGGAACTGGCCTGCAGTAAATAATTTTATGAACATGATTTTATATTCTTTTAAAATGTGGACCATTTGAAGTTGAGCTTTTAGAAATACATTTGCTCCATTAATTGATGCTAGAGGGTGCCAGCAAATGTCTTTATGGACAGCTGTTACTTTTAGGGTTTAAAGTGTTGTAATTTCTTCTTATTTGAGGGGTTCATACTGACTGTTTCTAAATTCTGCAGTGAAAGAATTAAACAGCTTTAGGCTTTTGAAGCATCAGTGTGTTCAGAAAAGTGTTTCAACCATGGTGATCTTCTTGTCCTGTATATTTATCTCCCACCAGATACCTAAATGCTTCCCTCCTCTTTTCAGGCAGATAATTGCATACAGGTTAGAACCAGAGAGAAGAGTTGAACCAGTGCTGAGCAGTGGATACAAAAAGAAGTGTCACCCTAGTGGAAGTAAAGAGACCATAATCTCTGCCCTTATTTATTTTTGAAGCCATAAATGCCCAGGGGAAAGCTTTTCGTTTATTTAGCTACAGCAATCTATGTGTGCAAGCACATATGGTTTTTAACTTGTTTTTATCCACCGTAGCAATCTACAGTTGTGAACCTCCTTGGTCTTCTCTCTAAATATGGGTTTCATCCCAATGATGTTGGCTACAGCCTTCAAGATTCTTCCTTTTTCAAAATGACAGTGTTCTCATTACCTGTTTTTTCCAACAGAGTTCATCTGGTGATTTAATGATCAGAAACATTCAGCTGAAACACAGTGGAAAATATGTGTGTATGGTGCAGACGGGGGTGGACAGTGTTTCGTCTGCTGCCGACCTCATCGTAAGAGGTAGACATTAATGCCTCAGTGGTTTTTTGTTTTGTTTTGTTTTTGTTTTTTAATAATCGTACATCTTCACTGATCATTCCTTACTGGAGGAAAAACCGTCAGACCACATGTGAGCATGTGAGTTATATTATTGATTTGATGCCCCCCTCCAAACAGACCAGAGACTATGTTGATAAGAATTTGCCCTTCGAATAGCTCTCACTGTAATAAGTATTTCACAGCTGCTGCCAAGCTGATGTATTTTTGAGCATGTCATTAATGCAGCGATAGTGTTTAATATGAAAGAGAATAGTGATAGTGTGTATATGTGTAGTGTGTACACAAAACCAGGATCATCCAGAATGCCTGAGAGAATTTGCCAATCTGAGTTACTGTCCAAGGTACTGATTTGCTACTGAGCTGAAAAATGACCAGAGTGCGTGATAGACTAAAACAGTTCTAGATAGAAAACTGGGAACTACAGAGTTGTACCGGTAGATTAAAGGAAAAGGCATCATGCCAAAAGTAAACGATGTTGTATTTGGAAGGGTGCAGAAACCCTCAAAAAGTGGGCATCATTTGCAACCCTAGAATACTATGATGTTGAAATTACTGACTCTCATCCAGATTGAATATCTAACAGCAGAAATGTCAAAAAGAAAACGTGGTAGTTTTATTGCTAGGGAAATGCCCTTTTTCCCTAAGTTTTTTTGAAATTACGATCAGTTGTCAGTATTACAGTGATCATGTGACATTCTTCACTTGGGTAGAAGATGATATTTACAGAATTGCTGCCCACCGTTTGCGTTTTTGCCTTCCTTAGGTTCACCTGGGCCACCAGAAAATGTGAAGGTAGATGAAATTACAGATACCACAGCCCAACTCTCTTGGAAAGAAGGTACAGATAACCATAGCCCAGTTATATCCTATTCTGTCCAGGCGAGGACACCTTTCTCCGTGGGTTGGCAGACTGCCACAACAGGTAAAGGGGAAGAGTCAAATACCATCAGTACATATAAATGGATTTTAAGTCAGTGCTAAGACCTGCAGACTGTTACTTCTCTGATATATTCCTTTTTAGTGCCTGAGGTCATTGATGGGAAAACACACACAGCTACTGTAGTCGAGTTAAATCCATGGGTGGAATACGAATTTCGGGTTGTAGCCAGTAACAAAATCGGAGGTGGAGAACCCAGTTTACCCTCAGAAAAAGTAAGAACTGAAGAGGCAGGTTAGTGTTTTTGTTTTCTGAGTAAAATGGGTTAGTAGGTTTCCCTGGGTGTGTACTTCCATTTCTCTCGATCTTGGTCTCCAGGCCAACAGGGGATTAACCTCAATAATCCATTGTTGCAGTTTTCTGACCTACCTAATGGCAGAACTGGCCATATGGCATTTGTCAAAAGACACTCGTGTAAGTGATTCTGATGTAATGCGACATTTCCAGAAGTTCAGTCCATCATCAGCGTTCATTAGTGCATGTTGAGTGAATATGTTTTTGTCACTTAAGGTTATAATTACTATCTGACATAGTCACCCTGTTAACAGGGGAAGTGCTGTTTTCATTTATAACAAGCATTGACAAATTGGTAGGATAATTACATTTGGGAGTTCTGCTGCCAGGAAATCTCATTTCACCACCAAGCTCCATGAATGAGCTCAAGCGACTGATGATTAGGAATATTTTGACCCCTCAACTATTAGATTAAGAGAGAATCATTGTTAAAATTTTATGTTTCAGGCAACTATTAATACTACCTTTAAGACTGTTTTTACAATTCTAAAAATATCCTAACATTGAAACTGAAACTTAGGAAGTGTACATAATGTCACATTACCGAGGCATCTGAGAGGATCTATAGACGTTCCTTTTCAGAATCTGTAAGATTGATTAATATTAATTAAAATGATGTTTGAAGTATAGCTAGTGTGTTACTTTAAGAACTGAGCCAAAACAGAAGTCATGGAATACATTTCAGTAATTTTAATGATGCTTTTTTACTCAGGACAATGCATGTGATATTTATGGCAGGAATTGTGAGAAATAGGGGAACCATGCCAATCTTTGTAGTCCATTTATTTATTCATACAGCACATATTTATGGAGTATCTACTGTGTGCTCAGCACTTCCTAGATATGGTGGATACAGCTGGGAACAAAGACTTCTATTGTAGTTGTGTCATAGAAATGACTAAGCATAAAGTTCTCAGTATAAGCAAGGCATCTGATGCCCATGTGAGGTTTATAAAGAATACCTCATAACAAGATTTGAGGAATTGAGTCTAGGTCATTTTTTTAGGTAAAGCCAATGTCGGTACGGCAGTTATATCTCTACTGTGGAATGTTCGTGCTGGATTCATTTCCCATCATCCCCAGTGAATCACTTTCCCTTGTTGTATTGACCTCTATATTGAGTCATTTTTTCTTACTGTTTGAGATATTGTGAGTCTATGATAATTTCATGCAAATATAAATTATTTGATGAGCTCATCAAAGATATATATGTATATATATATATAGCACGCATGTTTCACATAATCCAGATACAGACACACACACACACACACACACACACACACGCACACGCACACGTGTATGATGTGCCAGTGATCAAATTACTTCAAACATTAGAAATAAGCAACATTGAATCTTCTTTCAGATAAATGTTACCAAATGCAAATAGGGTTTTATCTCTGTCTGTCTGACCTACACAGTTCCGGAAGTGCCTCCTTCAGAAGTCAGTGGAGGAGGTGGAAGCCGGTCTGAGCTGGTGATAACTTGGGATGTAAGTGTCTCGACAGCACCCTCCCCCTGCGGGGTTTGCTCTTCCCATCATGGCCTCCTGCGTGGTGCTGGTAGTGTTATTGGTGGTGGTAGTAGTACTAGTAGCTCACTCTATGCTAATCATTTTTTCTAGCACTGTTTTTTTTTGGTTTGTTTTGTTTTTTTTTCAGTTTCACTCTTGCAACATTTTACAGATGAAAACACTAAGGCTTAGAGAATATTAAATAATTTGCTCAGGGTCATTTGGCTGGTAAACGTAGGGGTGAGAGTCAGGTCCTGGCTGTTTGCTCTCAAGCTGTCCTCATGGCTTTCCATGCAGCTGTAACCCCGCTGATGATGCACACCCACTGATTCCAGCAGGTGCTTGCTTCCTGGCCACGCTGTCAGCTCTTGCTTTATGTTGTAATTAGAAAAAATTGTAATTAACACATTTACAGTCAGAAAGCGTGAGAATTGGCTGTGTTATTTGAAGATGTTGTTGGAAAAATAGAAAGTTAAGAGATCATGATGGAGTGCAGTAGGAATTTTTGACATGATCTAAATACAGCTTTGACCTTAATACATTGTTTTTACTTTCTTTTTTTTATAGTTTTACTCCTTTGTACTTAATCATCAGATCAATGGGTAATTTCTTTCCATAAAGCCAACATTAGGGGTTAGATGATTTTTATTTGACTCAAGAGATGAAGTATATTCAACTAAAAGTATATATTATGATATATAACTCAGATAGCAGCTACAGGATGCTCAAAAAATCTGAATAACTTTAGAAAATTCCAGTTAGTTATCTGGATGGCTATGAAAGAGTGGCATATGTCTCTTTAAAAGCAGCTGACTTGCCACTGGCCTTTTTTCTCCTTTTTTAATATAACCTCTTAATACTATGTTGATTGTTATTTGATGGGTTTTGCAAAAGACTAAGGATTAGAGCTCTATTTATTTTTGCCTTGCCCTCATGTGTAAGGGTGATTTAATATGTCTTGCCTTTGTAGCCAGTTCCCGAAGAACTACAGAACGGTGAAGGTTTTGGTTATGTTGTTGCCTTCCGCCCTCTTGGAGTTACCAACTGGATCCAGACAGTGGTCACATCTCCTGATACCCCAAGATATGTCTTTAGGAATGAAAGCATCATGCCATTTTCACTGTATGAAGTTAAAGTGGGTGTTTATAATAACAAAGGTGAAGGACCATTTAGCCCGGTGACAACAGTGTTCTCTGCTGAAGAAGGTATAGAGACCATGTGGATTGTGTATCTATTCCAACCTAATAAGCCACTAATGCTTCCAAAACTGATCTGGAAGTTCTTTTTGACTTCAGATAAATTTCTTATAATGACTGAAGTCACAGATTCACAGTCCAGGTAATAAACATCAACCATGCCAACTTGAAGTACAAGACTCAGTAGCTAGCCAGAGGATGTAACTCTTGGTTACAATCTGTAGATGAGGAATACGTTCTGAATTCCAGCTTGGGAAGCAGGGCATAGCACAGGCTTCTTCTTTTGGGGATAAGATGAAGCTATTCTCTTGGAAATGCCCTAATCTCAATTCTTACGGTGTTTCCTATGACCTGAGAATAGAACGTTAGCAGAATGGAGAGGAAGGCCAGAAGTATGACATGAAGAGGTGTGCCATGTACAGCTTAACGATGTGATATGCCAGTTCCAGCCAGCATACATTCAGACATACTCCACTGTGGACCCATGCCATCTCTCTGCCTTTCTTTTACACCTGCCCCAACTATGGTATCTCTTTAAAAAATATGATTACTAGGAGAATCATATGAAATTGCCATTTTATAGGACAAAGGCAGCTGAATATTGGCTATCACATGGGGTTCTACTTAATAAGAATGGCAAGAGCTAACGTGTTGAATGCTTACCATCACCAGATTTTATCTCATTTGGATTTTCTAAGGAGGAATTACATGTGGGTACTATTATTATGGCCCATTTATACATAAGAAAATGGAAGTTTAATGAAAGACATTGCCAAGCTCCATACAGACTTACCAAGCAAGTATTTTAACCCAAAGCCTTGGCTCTTAACCATTCTGAACTCATGAAATGTGATTTCAAGTGTCTTCTCTACCCTAAGACCTTGTAGTAAATTTCAGAAAGTCATCCACACTTGTCATGTCTAAAATAATAAGATGACTCAATTTTTTATTACCCCAGACACTATTCTTATCCTCTTTTTTTCTACGGAGTTCTGAGAGAAAAATAAACTGGTATAAAAACCTTTGCAAAAAAAGAGCCTTCATATTCATAGCCAGACACCATTTCCGGTAGTAGCCAAGGATTTTCATTACAAGGGCACGGGTCTGAGGAAGGATGGCAGTTAACCAGGGAGTTTTTAGACACCACCTACCCTGTGCATCTGGGACTGGGAGGGCTGGAGGTTGGAGGGAGAGACAACCACAGGCTTTTACCCTCTCTCCCCCTGCACTTTCCTCCTCCTATTAACTATTCTTGCCACCACTGATGAGTTAAGTAAAGGTCTTTCTGTTCCAGACATCAGAAAGAGATTTGACTTATCTATGCAAAAGTGAAGGATTTTTTGGAAATATACTAGGACTTACTGAATCAAAGGGAGATTTAAACAGCATACCTCATAAAGATCATTAATAAGAAAAGCTCTGGGACCTCAGAAACTATCTGCCTCTCTAGGGTGCCAGGACTGGCCTCAAGTACTCCTCATCTATCCAAACCAAGTTTCGAATTCTCAGGAGAGAAAATCTAATAGGCCCTTCCTTGGCCCAAGACTCTGCCTCACTGTCAATCAGCACGGCCCAAAAGGGGGATCATTTAACACAGAAATGCTTATTGGAGGGGAAGTCCCTGCTCAGAGCTGTGCCCCTGAGAGAGGAGAATCACTGTCAGTCCCTCAAGCTAAGAGTTGTTTATTACAAAGGGATATTTGTTGTGTAATAAGTTCTGTGCATGTCTGTCTACTCCTTCAAAACAGTAAACTCCTGGAAGTTGCTCCATCTCATTGAAGTGTGCCCCCCTTATGGGCCTTGGATACAGAAGGCACTAACTAAATGCTTATTGAATAAATGAAGTCTGTAGAGCATGACTTTGTTTAGCAATATAAAATTAAACAAACAAACAAACAAACAAATAAATAGGCAGTGTTTATGGGCATTGGAGTGCCCAAGCATGAGATGTGGGATGAAGAGGAGAGAAATAAGGACCTGGTGGAGAGAACAGAGGAAAAGAAGGGAAGAAAAGATACTAAGAAAAAAGTGCAGCAGAGGAAAGAAGAGCTTTCTTTAGCTGTTTAGCAAGGAGAAGCCCATCTACTCCTAAGGCATGGAAATAGATCAAGACATGGTTTATGTTTTCACATGTTTTGATAAACTATTTTTTTAGATTTTCAAATATGTTAAAATGCTTTTTTGAAAATAAGAGCTTCAATAGATTTTTAAATTAACTACCAAAATAATAATTGTATTTCACTTTCTTTTGCCAAACAGAGCCTACAATAGCTCCGTCTCAAGTGTCTGCAAATAGCCTATCTTCCTCAGAAATTGAAGTGTCATGGAATACCATTCCTTGGAAGTTAAGCAATGGACATTTACTTGGCTATGAGGTAATTTCTTTTAAAACTAATTAGACTGTATGTATGTTGCCATGGTACCTTGTCTCCTTTCATTTAAAATTCTTTTTAACAATGACATCTAAACTAAAGTCTGACTTTTGTTGAAATTTTACCAGCACAGGTCCCATGTAATTATCAGTGGTTATTGAGTTTAACTTAACAAGCTGAATGAAAATAACTTGGGATAGAAAAGAAAAAACAGTGGAGTGCCTGAGTGGCACAGTCAGGTGGACTTCGGACTCTTGGTTTCAGGTTGGGTCGTGATCTTAGGGTTGTGGGATCAAGCCCCACGTTGGACTCCATGCTTGGCATGGAGTCTGCTTGAGATTCTCTTGATTTTTTTATTTGATTCTCTTGATTTTTATTATTTATTTAATAAGTGTTTAATTAAAAAACAAAGAAAAGGGGGCACCTGGGTGGCTCAGATGGTTAAGCATCTGCCTTCGGCTCAGTCATGATCCCGGTCCTGGGATCGAGGCCCACATCAGGCTCCTGGCTCAGTGGGGAGTCTGTTCCCTCTCCCCCTGCCTGTCCCCCTGCTCAGTGCTCTCTCTCTCTCTGTATCTCTGTGTCTCAACTGAATAAATAAAATTTTAAAAAAAGAAAAGAGAAAGCAGTAAAATGGAAGGAAATCATATATCAGATGGACCAAATCTTTTAGATGGATTGACTGAAAAATAAAAGTGAGATTGACCTATAATATTTAAGTTCAAAGGATATTTATGCCAACAGGAAATCACTTTCCTCCAGCTCTTTGTCTCACTTTCTTGGTGGCCTCATTACATTGTGTGATTCTCTTTTAGGCTCTTGAGAAGATACCTGTCTATAACTTAATTCTTGCCTTCAGTCTGTGACCTAATTCTTGCCTTCAGAGAACTCTGTTTGGAGAAATAAGATGAGAGATCTGAAACAGGGTGGCACAGGACCAAATGTAATGAAGATCAGAATAGGTGACATAGGAAATGTTTGAATGGTCGAGACGGATGAGCAATCTTGAAAGTTTTCATAGGCTTAATGGGACTTTAAAGGAAAAGTAAGCGAACAGAGAAAATGGAAAATCCTAGTTTAAGCATGGCATGTTGGAGGAGTAGAAGGAGTAGAGACCTACCTGCTGAAGAAGGTTCCTGTAGGAGGATGACTGCAGGTAGACACAGGAGAGCCAGGTCACAGATGGCCTTGAATATTGAGAACTGTTCTGACTCGGCCCCATGTTTATTAGAGAGCAGTTAGAACTGGAAGCAGTTGAACTAAGAACTGGCAAGATAAAAAGTAAAAGTCTTTTTTTTTTTTAAGATTTATGTATTTATTTCCTAGAGAGAGAGTAGGGGGAGGGGCAAAGGGAGAGGGAGAAAGAGAATCCTCAAGCAGACTCCCCGCTGAGCACAGAGCCCAATGTGGGGCTCCATCTCAGGACCCTGAGATCATGAACTGAGCCAAAATCAAGAGTCAAACACTTAAACAACTAAGCCACCTAGATGCCCCAAAAGTAAAGTCTTAAGAAGACTTCCCTGACAGTGATATTGTAAGAGTCATGGTTCTGATTTCACCCCCACCCTCAGCCATCTTTTTAAGAACCTTCCCTCATGCTTGTAATTCCTGATTCAGTGGTAGGCGCACATCGGCACATTTGCAACACAGGACCATATACCCCTCCACTTGCCTACATAACCTCCAACTATGACACCAAGGTGGCCACCTGATCTATGGATAGTTAAGCTGAGCTAGTCAGATTCTTGTTTGATATGTCGAACTAAACAATATAGAGATTGTAATTACTGAGTGTAATGCAGCGGTATGTTGAATATAGGACTCGGTTCAGGCTTCTCAAGTTAAGGCCATGGGCAAGCGGGACAAAGCTTGTCTGCTTGAGCGGTTGTACCCTCATACAACTCCAATGAATGGAGGAGACAAGGACCCTTGGAGCCGTAGAGACAGCAAACAAAATAGAATAGCTCTTTGACAATTATCCAATTCTCAAGCAGACTCGCTAGTATTCTTTTTCATAATGTCACCTTTCCCTCCTTTTCAGTAAACTCCCTTTATAATTGAATTTAGAGAGTTTCTGTTCCTGGTAACCAAACATTGACTTGAGTAAATATTAATGATAAAGTAGAGAAAAGATAGGCTAGAGCAGTGGTCCTCCAAGTGGTGCAGTGGACTACCTTCACCACAATTACCTGAAATTTTGCTAAAGATAAACCCCCAGAGCCCTCCCTGGACTCACTGAACTCAAATATCTAGGAGTGGGTCTTCTTAATGTAGATTTTTAGTAGGTATCCATAGGGAAATGTCTTCCCACACTTTCAATACAGGAAACAGAGCCTGACACAGAGAAACTTGACCAGGGACAGAGCTGTCCAGACTTAAAGAAGAAGTAAAACACCACACAAACACCACAGACTGCCTTGATCAGCACCTGAAAAGAAGCCAAGAACATTTAATTGGAAAGTTCCTTTAATAATATAAGCAGCAAAAGGTGGTGGGCAACCCCTATTAGCTCCTCAATGATTAGAGAAATGGCATTGTCGAGAAAGGTAAGTGGGATGGAAGGAGATGTAAAGGGAAGTAGTTCTGAGCTCAGACCTGCACAGCATCTTGACTGCCAATCACTGGCTGTGCAGGAAAAGTCACATCAACTTTATGAGCCTCGTTTTCCACACCTGCAGAATGGGGCAGTAATTGGCCTAACCTTATTAGGATATGGGGAGTACTGAATGATATTAGACACTTAATGTGCTTCTCACAGTCTCTGGCTCATAATAGTAAACAGTCCCTAATTGCAGGCCATATCTCAAAAGAATTGTTGAAGTATTAATTTATAAAATTCTCCCCAGTAAATATCCTCAAGCAATTCTTCAACTCTAAGCCTCTCTGCCTCAAGAGAGTTTATGATGGTTGTCAAGAGGAGTTGCCTGCAAGAGCCCTTTCTTCCTAGATCTGTTTGCAAAATTCAAGCCCTTAAGGAGCTAGTTCCATGTATCCTGGAGGGTAAGAAGAAAGAAAATGCCACTGAGGAAAAATAGAAGAGAAATTTCAGGTGACCTTGGTGGAAGCAGAGATCCAAGACTTACAAAATCTTGGGGTCCCACACCTTTCTACCTGGCAGTATCCATGTTGGTGGTAAGACCACAGGAGGGGACAGATCTATTTCCCATGTTCAGCAATGATCAGTGATTTCCCATTCTCCAAGCACGATCCGGAACTAAAAGGATCAAATCAATGTAATATTAAGTTTTCTTGGCAAGATTTTGGGAATGGGCGCCCCAGCAGTGACTGAGGTTGAATTTCCCATTAGCTGAGCAGGATATGAAACTCAGTGGTAAATCAAATTAACTTAAAGAAAATAAACACATTTTGCATGCCTCAGACAGTAGACTGAGATGCACATCCCCATTAATAACTTTGTCCTTTACAAACCACAAGACAGGATCGTAATTTGAGAGCTGGTTATAGTTTGTGAAATAGTTAAGAGAAAGAAACAAGAGAATATACATAAATGGGCTTTGTGGGTTTCAAAGCACCACAGCAAAGTTAGCAGTTGCTGGCAATTTTTTGGCAGCATGAGGGCAGATAGATGTTAATTTTGCAATATATAAATGTAAGCTGATAAAATATTCTATAAGAAAGCTGAGTTATACCTCTTTTGTCCATGTCAGGAAAGCGATTGAATGAAAGAGAAAACCAAAGAATCCAAAGAGAGCCAAGATAGTATCTTATTAAGTCCACACCATCTTAGAATTAGACAGACTTGCATTCAACTCCACTAGGATAGAGGATAAGTTCCACCAGGGACTGGGAAGTCTGCTTGTTTATTCCGTGATGTATGCCAAGTGCCAGGAGTCCTATCTAGCGCACAGGAGGCATGCAAAAAACTATGTGTTGATTGAATAAATGCAATTTTGACTCCACTATCTTACTGCTGTGTGGCCTTGAGCAAGTTATTAAAGCTCTCCAAAGCTCAGTTAAAATAAAGATGATAATAGTAAATAATACACTGCATCATTGGAGAATAAAATGAGATAAAGCAGCTTCTGTCAAAACAGCCCGAAGAGACTTGGGCTCTTCTCTGTTTTGAGTATTGGTCACTGGGATAAGATTTCTTTGGAAGGAAAAATTTGAAAAGCAGTGAAGAAATATAGAAACACTTAGCACAATCTAAGTGAATGACTCAGTGACTATTGTTTCTGTTGGTGCTGGTGTGTTGCCATTGGGGTAGGAGGCAAAAAGATGAGAGAGGCCAAGAGAAAATGGGACTTACCTTGACATTAATTGTGGGTTAGAGTGCATCGCGTCTTGCCTGTCTGTATAAAGAGCAGCAAACCTAACATCCAAATGTAGCATGAATACAGTGTTGAAAAGAAACAACTAGTGAAAATTTCTTTCCCAAGGGCTTGTTAAATAGGAAGAGAAAGAAAACAAGCTAAGAGAAAGATGTGCTAATTTGGAGAATCTTAAGAAATATTTTATATAATTACATGAAGATAAAAATACATATTTTCTTAGGTTCAATAATGATTGAAACACTAACATGGAAAAAAATGACTTAGCAGAGTGTTTAATTACCAATCGTGTAGCTAACTTTCTGGGTTGCAGTTTCCCCAATATGGCTTTAAAATTGTTAATAGCTCCTGCTTTTCTTTCATCTCAGTAAGGGTTGATCGTGTGCCACGTGGCATGCTGAGCACACATCATCATTAGCATCTAGACTAATTTTCTTTCTGATTTGACCAAGTAGTAGTTGAGGAGCTCATTTCCCTGGGCTCCAGTTTATTTCATCTGCTAAGCCATAACACTCAGGCTCAGATCTTTTCTTGTGCCCTTTGGATAGGAACAAGAGATACAGACATGATAAAGGAGATGCAGAGCGTTTAAGTTCATGGGTAGCAGGTGCCGGAAGAACAAAAGCTCCAAGCTATAGCATGGTATCTACCATCAATTTCTTAAAGCCAGTATGTGTCTTGAAAAAATAAAACTGGGGAGAATGACCTTGA